GAGGGAACACTGGGCTGCCCCAAAGAGCTCTGCCAGGCTGGACGTGGCCTCCTGAGCCCCACAGAGGCTTTGCTCCCACTCTGGTAACCCTGTGCTTCAAACGAGGCTTTAGGGGTGCAGTGTGGGACAAAACCTGGCTCAAAACCAGCCCTGGAAGGTGACAAGCTGAGATACTCACAGGCTGAACCCCTTCTTTTGCCATCAGCACAGCAAGTCCAGGCACCCAGGAGTGCTTCCCTGGAGTATCCTGCCATGACCATTCCACAAGCCACAGCCTCCAGGGAGGTGACTCCCCATCCCCACATTTCTTGGGGGATAAAAAAAAAAACCAGGACGTCTCTGTCGGGTTTGAGTGCCCGGATAAAATAACAGCACTGGGATCTGCCCCCTTCCTCCCCATGGCCTTGGCGGGGCGGACTAGGAAGAATGCAAGTTGGCTATCCATCAGGGAGACAGAGCAACAGCCAGCCGAAGAAAGAGGGGCATTTTAGGAGGAAAGCCAGGGAAATTTGATCATTAAGAAATCCTCCTGGCTGTCTGGGGGAATTTAATTAAATTGCTGGAAAGGGCTGTAAGCACATCTGGATCCAATATGTGCAGCTTTGATTTTTTTCTTTCTTTCTTTCTTTCTTTCTTGCCTTTTTTTTTTTTTTTTTTTTTTTTTTTTTTAGTTCACTCTTTTCCCATCTCGCTGTTGAAGGAGGGGGGGGGTTGGAATAAAAGGGAAATAGCAGAGCCACGGAGTATTGGTTCATCTGGGACTGGGATTCCTGGCAGGGAAAGAAAGAGAGGGAGAGAAAGAGCAAAAGAAAGAGGCAGAAACAGAGGGAATAAGAAAGCTGGGAGAAAAACCTTCACCAAGGGGCTGGCTGGGGTGTTTTATAATGCCACTGACCGCAGAGACAGCGTTCTAGGAGGGAATGGGGGGAGTTGTGAGGGCTGGAGGGGAGAGGAGGAGGAGATGAGCCAGCCCAGGGCACACTGTGCTTTTGGGGTCTGGCAGGGATGGAGGGAGAAAGAGGAGTTGCTCAGTGGATATAGAAATACCATTCCTGCTGGGAAGAGCAGGGCTGGGCACAGTGGGGACTCCCCCAGCAAGTGCCCCCAGCTATCCCCCCTGCACAGGCCCCTGCCTGGCTGATGCCCTGGTCTGGGGGCAGGAGGGGATGCTCTTGTTCCCATCCTGGGCAGGACACAGGGCTGGACACAGCTCTGGTTTAAGCAGATGGGGCCAGCAGTGCCCAGAAAGGGACCAAACCCCTGGCACCCACCCTAAGAGCCAGTTACTGGGTCCTGGCTGGGCACTGCCAAGCCCTACCATCTCCCAAGCTCTCCTCCTTACTACCTCCTTGCTCTGATCATCCTCCTTACAGTGGAGCAGAGGTGCATCTCCATAGTTAGAGGAACCTTCCCACCCGTGGGAGACGTGGGCAAGTCTCAGCCCAGTTCCTCTGCACGGTAACATCCACAGGGCAAGATTTTGGGAGTGTTAGGAATGAGCACCTGGGTGCCACAGAAAGCAGCAACAGCCCAGGCAGTGCTCCAAGGATGCTGCACTGCCCCATCTCAGCCACCATGGCAGTTCTGGGGTGAGGAGGAGGGCTGGGGCTGGCACAGCACATCCAGATGTTGAGCACCGTGGGAGCACAAGGTGTTATCACATCAGGAGACAAATATCAGGAAACCCCTAGGAGAACACAGAGTGAGAGTACCAAAAAATATAAATATCATGTTTTGGGGCTGCAAACTGCAAACCTGCCAGACTCTGTCCACATCCTCACCCCGGGGAGCCCAGCACAGCCCTGCCAATTTGGTGCCACTTTAGTCCATCGACAGCTCTGGCTCAGCAAAGCTGGACTCAGGGCACACACCCCGCTCAGCAAAACCCAGGTGCTCAGTGTCAGGTAAAGCAAACCCTACACAGCTTTGTCTCCAAACCACCCACACTTCACCCTAAGCATGGCCAGGAGTCACCTTGGCAGCTCCAAGGTCCAGTTTTAGTCACTTAAACCACAATTTTTACCAAAAAAAAAAAAACAAACAGAAGTGAGAAGAGCTTGCACAAGAGGGTTGGGAAACACCAGGAGTGTGGGTTTCAAGCAACCAGGTCTCGCTTCTGATGCCTCATGTGGATGGTGGCGTTAAAAAAAATGATGCTGGGGAAAAAAAAAAAGGGCAAATCCTACAGCTAAAAAGGAAATTGCATTAATACAGATTGTTTTATTTAAAAAAAGCAAACCCTGACCTCTACTTCAAAAAAGTCATTAGACATTCTCCTTCTGAAAGGCCGACAGGGGATATTACTGAAAGGCCAGTTAATTTCTCAATGACTTACTGTTCTTGCTCTGCTCATGGAAATGTGTAAAGAGTTGGAGGGTAATTTAAGGCACCCTGCAGAAAGGTGTGTAAATCTTTGCATGTCTAAAGAAACTTTACCAGACCGCTAGGATTGGGGGAAAAAAAAAAAGAAAATGCTTGCCCTCTTCTTTTTTCTTTTTTTTTTAACTTTTTTTTTTTCAACTTTTTTTTTTTCCTACTTTCCTTTGGAACTCTGATCCCCTTTGATCATAAAAAAGGTCATATTTCAACCAAAAAAATATCAGCAATCACAGGGCCCGAGGAAGTGCGAACCCAAGGGGGTTTCACTGACGATTATTCCCTCCATTTAATTATTTAATGCCGCGGACTGAGGGAAAGGCGTCTCCCCTGGAAAAGCCAGACAGTTCAAGAGTAAGGTCTGGCCCCTGAACAAGGAGGAGGAAGAGGGTTATAAATGGGGCTGGGGCTGCTCCATCCCCCCTCCTGCCCTTGCCCCTTCATGGGCCAAGACCAGCTGCCCCACAACCCTCCCCAAAATAATCACAGCAAGATGTTCCCAGCCTCTGAGGCCAAGGGGAAATGCTGGGGGAAGGATGGGAGTCCTCACTGCCCCAGCCCTCCTACCAGTCCTCACTGGCTGGTGCCCACTGCTGATGGGTCACTGTCCTCCAAGGAGGTGTTTCCATCTCCCAGGTTGATCCTGGAGCAGTTTTTCCTGGACATGGTGTCATCTCCATCCTGGGAAAGGTCTGTCCCTGCTGCCAGAGTGGAAAAAAGCAGGATCAAGCGGGTAGCTGGATGAGAAGGGTGGGACAAGGCTGGGCTGGGTCCCCCAGGGCCCAGTGGTCCCAGGGGTGATGCAGGAATCTCCCCCTCTGAGAGCATGGAGCAGCCAGGAGGGCTGATGGCAATGTATTCAATCTGTGTTCTAAAACACACACTGAGGGCATAACCAGCATTGTCCTGGCACTGTGTGACATGGGTCCCATCCAGCTGGGTGCTGGGCAGAGGTAAAACACCCACCCAGGGGAGCATCCCCCAGGGAAGCAGGAGCAGAAGCAGCATCACAAGATCACAGAATCACAGAATATGCTGAGTTGGAAGGGACCCACAAGGATCATCCAGTCCAACCCTTAGCCCTGCACAGGACCATCCCCAAGGGTCACACCCTGTGCCTGAGAGTATCATCTGAGAGCTCCTTGAGCTCTGTCAGGTTTGGTGCTGTGTGACACCAGCCCGTGATTTACACAGCCAAGGGGACAGAACCAGACACCAGAGCTGACTCCTGAAGTGCCCCTCGGGCCAACAAATTGGACCGATAGAACCAACAAATGGACCCAAAAAAGAAAAAGGAGGGGGGAAGGGAGGTTGGGCTGGCTTGTTTGCACACTGGAGGAGCCCCCTGCAGAGTCGGAGAGAGCCAAAATCTGCCTTCAGCTACACCCCTTCCAGGCTGGAGAGCTCTGGGAAGCTGCTTCCCTGTCAGGAAGATCAGATTTGGCAGCACTGGCTGGCTTAAAAATCTGCACGCCTCCGACTTGAAGAGGAAGAGAGCGCAAGAAAAGCTTTCGACAAATGTTAAAATAACTCAGCCAGGGGTTTGCCTCCCTCGGTCGCGCTGGAGCGGGGATGTTTATGAGCTCAGAGCTGGGAGATTTCGCGTGGAACCCTGCGTGTGCACAGCCCCGTCCATATGTGCCGGCAGCGGCGGGCAGGAGAGCGGCTGGAATCGAGGGGAAGGAATAATAACTGTTAACCTCTTCGATTTCTGCTCATCGCCCCGAGCCCAGCCCTCTCCGGACACCACAACCAGCCCCACGCTCTGCCCTCCTCCCTCCCTCCCACCGCCTCCTCCCTGCATATCTCTGTGTGTATATATATAAATATATATAATTTTAAAGAGGAAAAACTCCTTTTTCCCGGTGGCTGGTTTTCATTAGGGAGGTTTCTTTCTAACCCCAAGGGAAGCAGCCTATGAGTTTTTAACTGTGGTGCAGGACGTAATTATCTCATTAAGGCGAGAGAGCCAGGCTTTTCCCAGGAGAGGTGACCTTGCTCCGGGGTTGATGGGGACCGGAGGAGGAGGGGGGGGTTGGAGGTGGAGGGGGGCCGTGTCCCCCGCTAACCTGAGGGTCACCTCTCCCTCCAGCCCCTCTCCCAACCCACCCCATCCCTCCCCACGGAGCGCAGCCACTTACACTTGTTGATAGAAGCACTTAAAACAGGGTGAGGGGGGGTGAGTGATGTGGTTGGGGTAAGAGGGGGGGGGAGAAGCGGGTCTCCCTCCCTCTCTGCCCCCCCCTTTCCGCGGCTTGGCTGCCGGCGGGGCTCGGCCCCTGGCAGGGGGGCAGGTCGCGGAGCTGGGGGGGGCGAGGGGCCGCCCCGCTCGGCTCTGAGCAGGGGCGTTTGTTTGAACAGCTCCAGAGCAAAGAGCAGGGGAAGAAAGTTTGGGCTGGGAGCGTGGTTTTTTCCCCAGACGTCAGCACAAGGCGGAACAGGGGCTGGGGAGGGAGCCGGACTCACAGGGCAGCCGTGATTTTTTTTTTCCTCCCCCCTATTTAAAAAAAAAAAAAATATTATAATTTTTTTTTCTTTTTTTTGGGGGGGTGGGTGGGGAAGGGGAAGGGGGCCGGGGAGCGGCCCGGCACCTCGGGGTGGGCTGCGGGCTGGGGGTGGGAGCCATGGACTCGGCGCCAGCCTTCGCCATGGACAAGCCGTTCGCCCCCGGCGCCGTGCGCGGCCCGGAGCCGCCCGAAAACCCTCAGAGCCGGAAAAACTTCAGCGTGAGCCACCTCCTCGACCTGGAGGAGGTGGCGGCCGGTATGAACGGGACCCCCGCGGCCGGTCCCCCGCCCGCCGGTGGCGGCAAGGCCATCCCGGAGCCGTCGGGAGGCAGCAGCGGCAGCGAGGCAGCGCCCCAGGACGGTGAGTCCCCGCCGCCCCGGGATGGGCTCCCCCGGGCTGGGGCAGCTTTGGGGATGGGGTGTCCCCGCCGTGTCCCTCCTGCCGCGGGCCGGGCACGGAGGACAAAGGGGGGGTCGGTATCTCCCCGCAGCGGGGTTTGGGGTGAATCGGGGAGCGGGTAGAGGAGGTAGAGGAGAGGGGTGACTCCCGTCGGGGCGAACTGCGGGGGTGCCCACACCCCGACGGCTGGGACAGAGAGACCCCGCACCGGGGGACAGGGACCCCGCACTGGGAGAGAGGGACATTGCGACGGGGTACAGGGAGCCCGCACCGGGGGAGAGGGACACAGCACCGGGGTCAGGGACCCCGCACCGGGCCAGGGGGCACGGGGACCCCGCACCGGCCGCCTCCCCTCCGTCAGCGGAGGTGCCGGGTATTGGACGTTCCCGGGAAGTCGGTGCGTCCCTGGGCGGCCTGCGGGGTCCCCCTTGCCCCCGGAGCTCCCCACCTTGGTTTCCGGGCTCGGGGAGCGGGGGCGGCCCGGCGGGGCCGTGGGGACCGGGACGCAGCGGGTCCCGTCCCGGCGGCCGCCGCTGCGCGTCTCCGGGCCGGCGGCACCGGCAGCACCGGCAGCACCGGGCCAGGGGGACAGAGCCGGGGCTCGGAGAGGAGACGGGGATCTACCCGGGACGCGGCTTCGTGGCGCTGGGTCCTGTCCGGGAGTTTGACGTTTCTAACGGGACAATCTCGCCCGCGACCCTCCTCGCCGCTCCGCCGGCCCCGCGCATCCCCGCTCCGCTTTTGGGGAGGGGGCGAGGAGGGTTCGCCCCGTCCTTGGGGCAAAGCCCCGGTCCAGGGGCAGCCGACAAGCTGCCAGAGCCCCCCCGCCGGAGGCGGGTGTCACCTCGGGGCACAGAGGTGACGGAGGGGAGGCAGAGCGTGGAGAGGGAGTGCAGCCCCGCCATCCCCCAAGGCCTGCGCCAGCAGCCCACCGCGAGGGCACCCTGGGGTGGCATCCCCAAAACCTGCCTCCTGGCTGGGCTGTGGTACCCTGAGCTCGTTTTCTGCAGCCCCCAGAGCACAGCCTCGAGGTGCTGATGGCCCTGCCGAGGGCATGCCCCGTGCCTGGCCAGGGTGCACAGCTCACCTGGGAAGCTGTGCCCATGAAGGGGGCTCAGCCCACCCCAGAGGCTGCCCAGCCCACCCCAGAGGCTGCCCAGACCTGTGGTGAGGGAGGGTTCCCAGTGGGGAACCTCCCCCCGGGTACTCCCTCTGTCCCCTCCCGGGGCTCCCCCACTGCAGGCAGGTTTGAAGCATCTTTCTCCCACCCACCTCTCATTCCCTGCACAGCCTCTTTCCTTCATGGAGCAGCCCCACCGAGCCCCCAGCCTGCCTGTGCCCGGGATGCTGAGGGCTGGGTGAGGCTGGGCGCTGTCTCTAGGATGGTGTCTGGTATTTTCAGCGTTATTTTCCATCCTCCCTCCCTTTCCCTTGGGTTCTGTTTGTACTTCTCACATTGCCTGTGGGACTGTTGGGGTGGTTTTCACCCAGTGATGGGACTGTATGGGGAACAGTATTCCTTGTGGGATCAGTGCAGCTTTGGGAAACCCAGCCCAGCCTGCAGCACTCGATTGGTCTCACAGGGCTGTTTGTAAAACAGCAGAGTAACTACTGCCCTGCTGAGCTCCTAAGGCACCCAAAGAGCTCAGTGGGGACTGGGTCTGATGCAAAAACCAGAGAGAGAGGCAAGGGACCTGCCTGAGTCACTACAAGCCCATATCTCAACCAAAAAGCCCACTGTTCCTGGGGCAGAGGCCCAGGGGGTTTGGCGCCTGCAGATCCCAGCACTGCTGGCCCATGCGAGATATTTCCCATTAGCACCTGTTAGGGTGAGTTTGCAGGGATGAGGAAAACATCAGCAACTGGGATGCTCTGACAGGCTGTCCAGGAGCAGAAGCATTTCTTCCCTTGGTCCTACCTGGAGAGAAGAACACCTAAGAGCAGCGGGCAAGAAGAGAATGAGAAGGCAGAGACAAAAATTTCTGTGCATACAAACATCGACCTTTGAGACCCGTTACCTGCGGCCACTGCCATAACTGGGATGCAATTTCCTAAATTGAGATGGGTAGACTCAAAATCCCAGATGCAAAATCTGAGGCAACTGTCCTGCCTTTGTGAGCGTCAGCCTTTTGCTACACATCTGCGATGCTTTCGGCATCGGCGCGATGACAGCAGAGGAACTTTTACTGGTAACGTTGTCTTTTATTGGCATCCTGAAGTAAAACACACTCTCAGCATTTTCTCTCGTCTTCTTCTTCACCATCTTGGGGTTTTTTTCTGCCAGATGCAAGTTTGGAGCCCCAAAGGTCGGTGGCAGTGGGTTTATTATGAACACAAGTGGACACAGTATCCCAGTGTGTCTCTGCAGGACGTGGCTCTGTGCTCCATCTGGGAACCTGTTAGGGAGCAAGAGCAGCCCTGAACCTGCTGTGAAGCTGCTGGTACCCCTGTGAAGGGCAGGGCTTGCTGCAGGCCAGGGGGTGTGTTGGCAGCGCTGGCACAGGGATGCTTTAGGCAGCCCCAGGCTGTGCTCAGCAGGTTGCAACCTTGACAGAACTCCCTCCCCTTCCCCAGGGAAGCAGCAGCAGGGGGTTTCTGTTCCAGAGGCTGGCAGAGATGGAGAAATTCGGGGCAGGGTTTTATTCTTTGCAGAAGGGGATTCAACCCCCTCCTGCTCTCATTCATTACCTCTGTCCCACAGATCTTCCCACTGGAGAGGGTGGCTGGGGGCAGCCCCATGTCTGGGGCCCTCAGCACAACTCTCCTCCAGGAGCAGGCCTTCCACAGTCCCTTTGCAGGGCTAGCACATCCCTTCCTGCTGGCACCAAGAACCAGAGCCATCCCCACCTCCTTCTCCAGCCAAGGGACTGCTCAGCCCCTGCCTTGGCCCCAGCCCCAAACTGGCCCTGAGGGCACCCACTGCATCCTCCTGAGAAGAAAAGCGTAAATATCTGTGCAACACGTTGCTCTCATGACACCGAAAAAATCAGAAATCCCACAAGCCAGGCAAGAGCAAGGAAGAGTCAACAGGGTGGTGAGAGCTTGTCCCCATCCTCATCTTCATCTTCATCCTCCCCTGGAGCGGTGCAACAGCCTCCCATGGAAAACCTTCGGCACAGCTTCTGAGGTCTTGAAAGCTTGTTCACCTCCTTTCATTAGACTAACAAATAATGTGTAACGCGAAACATCTGTTAACAACAGCCCTTAATGTTCTCAAGATGATAAAGCAGGAGGGTAATTTTAGCCAGCAAGCCTTGACTGATGGCTTTTCAAACAATGAACTTACTTTTGGTGCCGCCTGGGGATGGGAGAGGGAGTCGGGCGCTGGCTCCGGCAGCCGCTTCGGGGCTGAAAGCTCAGAAAGAGCCACTTTTGTCACAGCCAAGCTTAGAAGAAGGACTGTGGCCCCTCTGAGGGGATCCTTCAGCATGGGGCAGGCATGTGTTGCCCATTTGGCTGCAGCCACTGGGACCAGGCAGTGGGATGGGGAGATGTGGTGGTTCCTGGGTATCCCATTTGCAGAACAGCTCCTGCAGCCCCTTGCTCATCCCCAGGGTGGCTGCAACCCTGGGGCTGTGTGGATGCTGAGCTGAGCAGTGATGAAGTGAGAGAAGAGGCTCCACCCAAGGGGGCAGAGGGGATTAAGATGTTGTCACAGCAAATTGGCTTTAATTATGTAAACCAGGGCAGCTGAAAAGGGAGAAGAGAGGCAGGGAGGGACAGGGACCTGATATCAGTGGAAAAGGGACTTGCTCTTGGGATCAAGCAGTGGCTGACTGCCCCAGATAGCCCCAAGCTGCTCCCAGGGCTCAGGCACCTTCCTCAAGGCAGAGCCATCCCAGCTGATGTGTCCATGGTGTCCCACTCCAGGAGCCATGCTGATCCTGGCTCACAGGGCACAGTTTGGTTCTGCTTCTCTTCCTAAGTGCCACTTGTCCCCACTGGATGTGAGGCACAGCTCAGGGACACCTTGGCCGCTCTGTCTGCCCTGTAACACCATGGCTGGGATGTGTCCCTGGGGATCTGCTTTCCCTGGGACCTCTGCTTTGCTGCTGTTAAACCCAGCATCACTAACTCCTGGCTGATACCCTGTGCCAGGCTCAGGAAAGCACAGAGCCCTGGGCCCTGGGCCAGTGACATTGGGCCATGGGGAGCCAGTCAGGGCTCCCCTGCCCTGTAACCCCAGACCTGTTAGACCTCTCTTCTCCAGCACCCATCTGCCTTCCACAGCCCCAAAACTGCTGGAAATCCTGCAAACTTCTGTGCTGGGAAGCTTTCAATGGTTTCTGGATGACTGGTCAGGGACAGACAGGGGTGGAGAGACCCCGACTCAGCCTCTGTGGCAGGGGAAGAGGCTTTGAGAAGTATCTGATAGATGTGGCTGCAGCTCTCCAAGGAGAGGTTCTCGTGCTTTTGTGCCCAGGAGGAGGGGCACCCCTGCTGCTTGGGGTGGCACCATGACCTGCTTGCCCTGGCCTGTGGGATGAGGTTGGGATGCACTGGAGTGGGACACATGCTGCTGGTGGGCAGCAAGGCTGGGGTGCAGTGTTTACAGCACCCATCATCCCTCACTGCTCCCCAAAACAGCACCAGCTGAGGGTGCCTGGCTGCCCTCCCAGGCTGGCAGACCTCCTGCAGGGCCTCAATGGGGACAGTCCCTGTGTGGCAGAGCTGGGAACAGTGGCATCCAGAGCAGAGGGGGAGGTGAGCTGTCTCAGTCCTTGTAAGGCCAGTGCAGTTGGGATGGGTGGCACTGGGACAGGAGCCATCCTTGCATGGATGTGGCTCTCAGTGACCAGACCATCACCTTCCTATCTCCAGCACCTACTTGGGGACATCTCCCTGTCTGGAGGGCTCTGAGAGCTGCAGACCCCAAGATGGGGTTTTTCTCCATGCAAGGATGGTGCCCGTGGAGCTGCTGGAGCAGGATTGTCCCCAGGGGAGAGGACAGCACTTGCCAA